CTTTGTTTTTTCATTTTCTCAGTGTATTACAAAGCAGTCAGATATCCATTCTCATTTATGATTTTTATAAGCAATTAATTAACGAAAATAATAACACAATAGAAATTTACAATTATTTGTATTATTATAACGAGAAAAATTCACACATTACAAATAATTAATTAGTTATTTTTTATTTTTAATCAAATATAATGTACTATTTTTACAAAATACATATAATGTTTAAACTATAGTATCTGTTATATTTTTTTTAGTTTTGTAATGTATCATGAAGTGATCTGACATTATTCACGTTTTACAGTTATTATAGGCGATTAATCAATGAAAATAACAACACAGCGATCGAAAATTTAAAATTACTTATAATATTACAATGAGAAAAATTCATACATTACAAATAATTAATTATTTATTTTTTATTTTTAATTAAGCATAACGTATCATTTTACTATAGTTTCATTTACTCAGACAAAAAATAAACAGCAGATGTAAAGCATTAATTCATCACAAAGATCAAGCAATTTTATTAGTAAAACATTTATGCAGACAGACATCATATGCATAGTTTGCAGTAGAATAGAAGTATCCTACGCTTACGCTTCAGATAATAATAAACACTCTTAACATTTTGCAAACATAAAACTTATAATTTTATTCTTGTTAACTAAATAAACTCTCTAACAAATAGCATGTCAAGTTAATTAGATTTAAGTTAAAGCTATTGCTTCTTTGACTTCAAATCATAGTTAACTTATTCGATAGAAAGAAGTTAGGTTTTTTTATTTTTTCTTTGATAATTCCACTATAATTTTATATATTTTTCTTAAATCCAATTATATTAAAAAAGAAATTTTATTATAAAATAATAGTAATGTAATTATGACTCAATCTTTCTATTTTCGCATTTATGTGTTACATTAAAATAAATTATTTCAATTTTTTTGAATAGTAATATTATTCCTACTAAGACTAGTCAAAATTTAAACCCAACTCGTAAAAACAAATAAATTTTTATATTTAATAAGATGAGTATTTGTCATTTATTGAAACATTGTCTCTGTCTAAACTATTTTACCTATCAAAATTTTTGTTAACTATTAAAACTTTGCCAACTATCAAAACTTTTACCATTCATCAAAACTTTCATAATTTTGCCTTTAATAAAAAATTTTAGCAAAATGTTTTAATGGGTTTTAATTTTGATGTCTGTTAAAACCTTTAGGTTTTGTTTGGCAATCTTAATTTAATTTATTTGAATATTTTGAATAAATTTATCAATAAATTTATTTTTACTAGTCTGATTAGAAAAACTTTGTTAAAATAAATTAGAATTACATTCTTTATATTATTACAATTTGAGCAAATCCTTTTTTCTAAATATTAATTTCATATTAATATAATAAAATTCTTATTAAATTTATAAATATATATATTTCATATATCATATTTTATATTAATCATTATTTACTATTAAATTAATTTATATTAAATATCATTAAAAAATAAAAATAATTTACCATCTATTACATTATTAGTTATTGAATATTTTTTAATAAAAATTTAGTTAAATATTAATAATTAATAAATATAAATTACAATTAAATTACAATAAACCGTATGATTAAATATTAATAATAACTTATTATCTATTATATTATTATTGAATATTTTTCAAATAAAAATTTTGGTTGAGTTTAAATTACAGTAAAAAGTATAATTAAATACTAACAATCAATAAAAATAATTTACTATCTGTTATATTATTAATTATTGTATATTAAAAAATTTAGTAGAGTTTTAAATTACTATAAAAGTATAATTAAATACTAATAATTAATAAAAATATCTTATTCTTTTAGTTTTTTAATAATAAATTTAGTTAAATTTAAATTATAATAAAAGTATAATTAAATTGTATTATTAATTATGAAATAATTTTTTAAATAAATATTTAATTATTTAAATTTTAATAAGAAGCATAATTGAATATTAATAATTAATAAAATTACTTATAATCTAAATTAAATAAAAAATTTAATTTTTTAAATTATAGTAATAATTATAATTAAATGTTATTAATCAATAAATATAATTTATCATCTATTATATTATTAATTATTGAATATTTTTTAAATAAAATTTAGTTGAGTTTAAATTATAGTAAATGTAAAAGTATAATTAAATACTGATAATTAATAAAAATAACTTATGATCTAAATCATTAAATATTTTTTTAAATAAATATTTTAAAAATTATACAAATTAATTTATTTCTCAAAACTTATAATAATCAACTTAAATTTTATAATATTATCAATATATATTAACTTTGTTTATTTAAATTGAATTAAAAAGTAAAACATAACTTATGAATTATAATTTTTATATAAAATTTAGTCAATATTTAATTAAAAATTATATAAATATAAATACTAATAAAAACAACTTACAGATAAAATGTTTAACAATTTAAAAAATTTTTTTAAAATAAATTAGTTAAGTTTTTATAAAGAATTATAATAATTTACTTTCTAGTATAATTAAATTTTAGAAATTTAAATAAAAGTTTAGTTTATAAAAAATATATCAATAGAAAATTTAATGACTTATATTTTATAATATATCACCAACCATTGAATTATATTTTTTTTTTTTTAAAAAAAATTTTAATTATTAAAGTATAATAGTTTGATTTGACAAATAGATAATTTTCATATCCTCTAATTCTTTTGAAATAGGAATATTCAAAGCATTTAAAACTGGTTTTAATGTTATAAAAAAAATATTGATAAATTATTTTAAGCTTATAAATCAACTTATTTTGATAAATACGCTTATTAACTTCATCTAAATCACCCTTAAATATTGGAAGACCAGATGTATTTAAAACAGGATTTAATGTATTACAAACATTTTATTATTTCAAGTTTGTAAAAGCAATTTTACTTTATTTTCTTACTATGCAGTAATTGCAAAATACCTATTAGATTGCAAATAAGCTACTATTAAATAAGGTAGTAATTATATATTTTCTATATAATTACTTTGTAGTTATTGTGTATTAAAAAAACTAAGTTTCTGTAAAGAACTTATTTTATTTAATATACTTACCATCTTTATTTATAATAGCTTTATTTATTACTTTTGTTTTTTCAGTAAATATATTGCACTTTTTTTTATTGTTACTGTTGAACTTTTTATAAATTTAAAAGAAAAAAAAGTTCAATTAAATTTTATTATCATTTCTTTTATTTAGACATTATTACACATATCGATTATTTTCAAAATTTATACAAAATTAGCTAATTATTGCTGTGTTGTAATAAATTATAAGATATAATTATTAGTAATTAAATTATATAATAGAAAATTTGAAGTTTTTTTATTTATAAAATTATAATATAAAAACTGTTTATTTAATAAGTAAATGATAAAATATAATTATATATTTGAATAAATTATAATTTATATTTCAGAATAAAATAATTAAAAAAAAATAAATTCTATAATATGATAATTATAATTAATTTTATTTTGCTATTTAGGGTTTAAGAACCTTATTATATATAATAATTCTTATTTGGTAACATTTTAAATATTAGGATTAATATTTTATTTATTAGTGATTTAGGATTACATAAACCTGTAAATTATTTTTAAATATCTAAAAAAAATGAAAATTTTTAGTGTTTTACTATTTATAGCTCCTGAAGTTTTAAGAGATCAACCTTATACTTTAGCTAGTGATATATAAAGTTTTTCTATGATTATGTGGGAATTAATATTAGGAGCTTCTCCATTTAATAATGAAGCTTATAATCTTCAACTTGGTTTAGATATTTGTAAAGGTAAACGTCCTAAAATTATTGAAAATACTTCTAAATGTTATATAAATTTAGTGAAAAAATGTTGGGATATAGATCCATTAAAAAGGTCAACTGCATTAGAAATTAAAAATATTATTAAAGAATGGTATAATAATATTATTGATAAGAATCATGATAAAGAATTTAAAGATGATATTATAGATTTTTATAAATCAGATAAAGTATTTAAACAAAATTAAAATAATAATTTAAGTATTATTAAAGATCATTCAAAAGTATTTCATACAAGTCGTTTACTTAATTTTACTGAAATATTAAATGAAATTTTAGATCTTGAAATTAAAAGTTTAGAGATTAATCAAAATTTAGGTGATTATTATAATATATATAAATTAATAATTTTTTTTAATTTAATATATATATTTTTGATTAATTAGAAACTTTAAATATTACAAATGATAAAATAAGTAAGTATATTAAATATAAATTTAGATAATATAAAAATACAGTTTGTAATTATTTAAATAAACTTTTATATATAAATTAAGTTATAATAATTAAATTAAATTATTATTACTTATTAAATTGATTGTTAAATAAATAATTAAGATTAATAATTAATATAAGTAAATTAAAATAGTTATAAAATAAAAATAAAACAAAAATTTAAAAATAATAAATATTACTAATATTATATAATTGATAATATGTAATACAATCTAATTATATATCAATATTTATATTAATTATATGATTTAATTTTTTTACATTATATTTTATAATTTTAAATTGATATAATATTTGTATACAGTAATTATTATTATATTTTTTAATAATTTTATTGTAAATATTTAATTATTACTATTACTAAATTTTTTTTATTATAATTAATTCATTTTAAATAATTATAATCATTTTCTTTATTAAAAACATTTGATTTAACTTTTAACTTTATTTAAACTAACTTAAAGATTATTAAATAAATATTTTTCTTAATTATCCTTGTGAAATTTTGTAATATTACTTTGAAAAAGTCTTGGTGTTCCTAATAATAAAGATTTCAATAATATTAGAACAAAATTGATAGGAAAATACAAGGTGATGTATAATGGTACACATGGAAAATTTTGATGGTCGGTTAATTTAATCATATAATAATATATGAAGACTACAATGAAAGATGAAAAGCATTTTTTGGTTAATGGTTATTTGACAGAAGCATTGAAAAAGGTTGAAAATTTCACCATTAGGATCAGGTGAAAGCATTGCATAGATCATCACCGTGAATATCAAATATTTTGTCCGCATGTTGAAAATATTATTGAAAGGAATGATAAAATAGTAGGAATTAACATTAAATATTTCCAAAGGAGAAGTGATGCTTTGTGGTAGTAGTATTAATAGTGCTCAGATATGTACTTGAAATTTAGTTATAATATATTTGTATACAAAAAAATATTTCTCAAAAACTTGATGATATGAATAGAATGATTTGTTCTTACAAATTTTTACGTGAAATAATTATATAATCTTCATTTAGTTCATAAATAAATTTGAAATATTTGATAAATTTGGAAAATGGTGTTGAAATGCTGTGGGCGAAACCTATTTTCAAAGCCTAAATATTTCAGATTTTGAGAGCTGATCTGAAATTTGTTCCTAAATTCCGTAATTTGGGAGAAAATCTGATATTATTCCGAATATTTTAGTCTTCAGATACTATCTGATATATCCGAATTTATAATTCATGTGACTTTGACTTAGAATATTTCTATCTAAAATAGGTAGATTAATTCAATAAATTAAAATGTAATACTATTTGTTTAAAATGGTTTTAACCGTAATTTATTTATTTATTTATTTTTTTTTTTGGAACTTTAATTTTCGATTTTTTTTACATTCGGATAATTTAAATAATTTATTTTTTAAAGGAATTACAATGTGATAATAAAATATATTAAAAAAGGGGTTTTCGTAAATTGGATCAACAATCCAACATGTAAGTATAACATTTACCATGTCTTTACCCGAACAAGAATATTCTTTTCAACTTAATAAAAAAAAATCAAAGTGAAAAACCAAAATCTATAATATGGGTGGTATAAGGGATCACTAAAAATATGTGAAGAGCATTTGGCAGATTTATGTCCAGAAGTACCATCTGAAGTTTGTGAGGTATTTGAAGATGATGATTATGAATTTTTACAAGAAGCAGAAGATTACGAAAATGAGCAATTTAATTATGAGGAAGAAGAAAAATCTTGAAATTGAAAGTTTAGTAAATTTAGATGCGGACGAAATTATGTCGGGTCTAGATAAAATAATGAAAGTAAGTGTAGATGATAATGATATTCATATTATTAGTAGTAATAGCTATACTGTAGATGATATGGGATCCAAAAGCCATTGCGGATAAATATATAGATGATTAATGATTAATAAATGATTACATAATAAATAAACCGTTTAAATTTTATTTTTAAATATTTTTATTTATCAAATGTTAAATATTCTATTATTTATAAATTTCGGATATATGAATTAATTTCGGATAGGGTTTGGAATATCGGATAGGTTTCGAAATTTCGGAATATCGGAAAATTACACTATCGGATAAGGGCGATATATATCGGTTTCTCTCACATCATTAGTGATGAAGATTGGGCCGTGAACAAGTAATTTTCATATAACACGTAATAATGGAATTTTCAAATACTGATTTATGAATTTTTCATAAATACATCATTTCATGCATGTGGTACTGTTAAATGACAAGGAGTATGTGTTAATCGTGGACTTCAAGTTTATGGAACCAAAAATCTATGGGTTATCGATGCTTAATTTTTCAAATTATTCAGAATGGTAATACTTACTAATTCTATGGTTGCATGGAAAGCAAGCAAGGTATTTGAAGAAAATTACAGAAATAAAATTTAAATATTTCGATTATGTGATCACGTGATTTTAAAATCAAGTCTTTTTTGCAAAGTTATAGTTGATAGAATAATAGAATCAAAAAATTTCCAATATGTTAATGCGAAGTAAACTTGACAATACTCAATATTTTTTTTAAAAAAAATCAAAGTAGTTCATAAATGATGTCAAAAAAAATTATCATATAATGTTAATAATATATAATTTTTTATTTTGATTCTGTTATTAAATGAGCTATTCTTGTTTCATATAACTTATGTTTTTTATCTTTACGAGCTTCTGATGACAGATATAGTCTGTCCTCTCGCCTTGAGGCTGTATGTAAAATATATGCAATTTGTTTAACAAATGAGTAATTCTCGGAATTTTTTAGTTTTTTTCGTATATAATCTTGCTTTGATACAAGACTAATTTCATAAATTACCATCTTCAGAGAGAACGTTTGTTTCCTTATAAACCGTAAATGCAGTATTTTAAGATCAGCATACGGAAATATACATTTGTACTTTCAAATTTTTTTTTAATATTTTTTTTTCTGCAGTTTCTTCTGCATAGATGCGTACAGATTTTCCTTTTATTCTGATTGATGATTTGTTTGCATTTCGTACTAACTAACTACGCACAAACTATCCATATCTAGAAAAACAATATTTTGTGTAACCAATCGAAATCTATTTCGAAAATCTCATAGAACAATGGTGTTTACGAACTATTTATAGGTAGGCCAAAAACATCACAATAAATTATTTGGCTAGCTATTTTTAGGAATTCATAAATTTCGCCTTAATCTAAAATTAGCTTATGCTTAGAGAAGTAACCTTTTTTAGTAAATTTCTCGAAATTTACAAGCTTGGCGTAAGTATCATTGTAATTATGATTTAAAAATTCTTCGTTTTTGAAACGAAAAAAGTTCTGTATATATAGAGCGTGGAATCAAAGGTTTCTCCAACAATTCACTTAAATCTTTCAAACTCATATTTTGCATAAAAAGCATTCCTCGATTTTTACATAAGTAACCCTAATTCAATTAATCCTTTTAGCATTTTAGAAAGTATCGACATTAAAATTTTCAGTATGTCACAACCTGGAATTTTCACCAAATCAAATCTGATTTACATACCGCTGTCAGTAGCGACCGCTCACACTTTGAATTTCGTATGTAATTCTCCATTATCTACATGGCAAGAATTTCCTCCAAAATTACCTACCTCAGTATATTCTTCAATTTATTTTATTCCATTATTACTGTTTTTATCACTTTCATTTGAACCAATTCAAACAAGTAGACGATTTTATACTTTATTATCTCTCGCTCTTATATTTGTTTCAATTCCAATAAGTTTTCGCGGAAAATATCCACCTATACTTCATAACGCTTTTGTGGCTTATGGAATGATGTTTGGACTAAAAATGTTATTGTTCTTAAAATATAATCGGTCATACTTGAATCAAGAAGTTTCGGATCAAAAGAAAGAATTTAAGTCATTCCTCTGGAAGATATTTAATTCACGCTTTAACTCTTACATAGTTCCTCCAAAAAAGGAAAATTCGAACGAAAAAGAAAATTCCTTGATTATTACATCACCTACGACTTCACAAATTAACAAAAAAATAATTAATCGCACTTTAATTACCTTTATAAAATGTCTTATTCTTGAACTTGTAACGTTTTTTTCAATTAAATACACGATGGTAATTCCAGAGAAACCATACCAACTTCGTTTATTAGAATTTATTACAAAAGGAATTCCTGCGGTTACAATGCCTTCAATGTTACAATACGTAAATTTCCTTATATGTGTCTACCTAATGGCCTCTGTATATAATTACGATATATGCACTATTATTATTGCAACCTTCTACCGTTTATTCTTTCATTCCTCATCGGAAGAAATCAATTATAAACCTATTTTAATTAAATCTGGTCTTCTCACTCCTTCTGAGTATGTCTCCCTAAAAGAATGGATGATCACATTCCTTTTCAATACAAAACATTTGTTTAGTGAACCATGGATGGC